CTCACTTTTTGCCACGCTTCGAAATACTGGGAGAACATTGTCTCCCCCCACAACCACGCTTGACTAGCTTAAAAAAATAAATAAATAAATAAATAAAAGAAAAACGAAATACTGGGAGAGCGGTTTGATCGCCTCTGGGTTTGCAGGAGGGATGCCCCCAACCCTTCGGCCACACAGCTCACAGGATAGAAACAGAGTCAGCAGCAGTATGACCCTCCACGGGGCCTCCCGTGCAGAACGCCGCCAGCCTGCACACCCCGCTGCCACAGCTGCCCGAAGGCTGCCCCTGGCCGGCATCAGCAGCTGGTGACAGACCCGCAAGCACAGCCCCCGGGCCAAGGAAGGACCCAGCCGCCAGTGGGGCCCCTGCCGCCGCTCCTGCCTGGCCGGCTCTCAAGAGGTCCCCTCCCTCCAGGCCGTGTAGCCAGCTCTCCACCTCCCAGCCCAGGGACAGGCTGTTCCCCCTGCCTGCCAGCCTCAGCCCTGTGTCGTCCCAGGTACGCAGTGGAGCTGTTCTTCAAACCTGGGCACAGGCGTGACCTGAAACAGTTCTCGCCAGACCTGCATGGGCTGTCGTGCCGGGAGATTTGTGCGTACGTGAGCCTCCAGTAAATTTAAGGGACTAGGTCTAACTTGATAAATGTTTTCATCTGTTAGGCACTTACAGTTTTACGGTCAGGTCCCTAAGTCAACGTTTGGGATAAAGGTTTTAGTAGAGGCAACAATTTAATGAGGTATCTGACTGGTGGGGTTTGCCGACCCTGTGAGTAACCACTTCTCTCCCGGACAGACGCTGCTGATGGTGCGGCCCTCGGGGGGTCCTGCCCCAGCGTCCGCGCGCGCCTTGGCCAGCGCCACGCCCTCCCCGTCCCCTCCAGCCTGGGCTCCCGCAGGCGCAGCGCCCCTTTCCGTCTGTGCCCTGCAGGCCAGCGGCAGCCCCCCAGCAAGCCACAGAGCAGCGCCGTCTCCAGGAGCGTCCAGACCTGCAGGTGCGGCCGGGCCACAGCCCCCAGAGCTCAGGGCACAGCCCTGCCTCCCAGGACAGGATCCCAGAGCCGATCGAGCAGGTAGGGGGTCGGCCGTCACCGGGGAAGCCTTTTGCTGCTCAGCTGTTTAAATACGCTGGAAATTGAGATGTCTGCTTAGATGTCTTTGTGTGGCAGACCGTCATGAAAGAAGAAAGCTTTTGAACATCAGCCTCGCCTGCCCTTCTGGTGCTTCTCTGGCAGCGGCTCCCTCACGGCGGGGGTGAGGGGCACCGGGTGTTGCGGGGGCGGGGGCTGCTCCAGCGCGCACTTCTCTGCTCCTCACCTCGCTCTGTCCCTGCGCGGTGCCGGCCTGTGGTTGTCGTCGGCCTGGGAGCAGGGAGGGGCCTGGGCTTCAGGTGCACCTCATGGTTTTTAGGGTGCTTAGTCAGAAAAGGTGCACCACTTTTACCTTTGAGGTTTCTGTTTTTAAATGAGACTTTTACCTTTTAGTGTGAATGCTAATTGTAGACGTAGAGCTGGTTGGAATGCTAATTGTAGATGCAGATCTGGTTGCCTAGAAAACAGTTGATCACAGACATAGAGTGCTTAGTCTGCGAGAGATGGGGAGCTCGCCGGCCGATTAGGAGGCGTCGTCCTCAAACGGAGGCAGCACACCAAGTCAGCGAGCTCGGGTACAACTGCTCGTGAGCGAGGAATCCCAAGAGCACACTGCCTGGGAACAGCCCCAGCGGCTGATTTACAAGGTGAAAGCAAGAGTAGAATTAACTCGTGGGTTGAATGAGAAAAAAACATGAATTATGTGGTTAGAACCATGGAATTTTAGAAACCCTGTGAAAAGTTAAAACTGTCTTGATTTTTACAGATTGAGGTATCGGCACAGAAAGTCTAAATGACTCATCCCGGGTCACGTGGCTAGTTTGAGGCAAAGCCAGGATCTGACCCCAGACGTCACCACATGCCAGTGCTGTGCTGGTGTATTATAGCTTTGATTTCTTTTGAGACTTAAGGTGCAGATTATGTAACTGTTTGGGGTTTTTTTTTAAGAAATTCTATGTAAAACATAGTTTAAATTCATATTGAACTATCTAAAAAAATTTATATGACCTTTTGCATATTTTTTTAAAACTATTTTATAGTGTTCTAAGCAAAGCTAAAGGGTAAGATTTTATATTTCTTCTGGAGGAATACTGCATCACTTGTTTTTTTTCTTTTTAATTTTTTTGAGAGATGAAGTCTTGCTATGTTGCCCAGGCTGGGCACTGACCTTTCGTCACCGCGAGTGATGCTCCACCCTGACGTCTTTGTCTGGAAACACCATCGCCTCTCCCTCCAGCCATCTTTTTTTTTTTTTTACAGGGTCTCACTCTGTTGCCCAGGCTAGAGTGTCAGCCTAGCTCACAGCAACCTCAAACTCCTGGGCTTAAGCAGTCCTTCTGCCTCAGCCTCCCAAGTAGCTGGGACTACAGGCATGCGCCACCATGCCCGGCTAATTTTTTTCTATTTTTAGTTGTTTGGTTAATTTCTTTCTATTTTTAGTAGAGACGGGGGTCTCGCTCTTGCTCAGGCTGGTCTTGAACTCCTGAGCTCAAGCAATCCACCTGCCTCGGCCTCCCAGAGTGCTGGGATGACAGGCGTGAACCACTGCACCCGGCCCTCCAGCCTTCTTTTGACTGGCGTTTGCGTCTTTTCCATCCCTCTGCTCTTGGCATATGTGGGTCTTTGTGGTGAGAGTGGGTTTCTCTTAGACAGCACGTGTTGATCCAGTCTGACGGTCTCTTTTAACTGGGTGTCCAGACCATGTCCACTTGCTTCAGGGGTTACGCCCACTGTGCCTTCCGTGGTCTGCTCAGAGTTGGTATTTGACAATGGCAAGGGGTGTAGACGCCTGAGAACGCATGGCCCTTCCCTGCCAACCGCGCGTCGTGGTTGCCACCAAGCGCCCACAGACCAGGTCAGAGCCGTGGTGTCTCCAGTCTGCTCCGCATTCAATCCAGTTAAATTTCACTTCAAATACTGTGTTTTCAGTTCTAAAAACTTTTGGTGAACTTTTTCTTTACATCATTTCTTTTTCTGGAAAGAAAATGAAATGCTGGAAATGTGTCTCTTCTTGTGCATCCAAGTGCTCACAGACAGGCTTAACAGTCAGAGCTGCTTTAAAGCCTTTCTGTCGTCCCAGCCTCTGGGGTCCCGGAGGCGGCGTCTGTGGGTTCCGTTTTTCTGGGTCTTGATATGTCAGGTGATTTCGAGTTGCACTGTGCTCTGTTGTACAGACACATCTCTGAGGCGCTACTAAAAACAGAAAGAAATTAATTGGCCACTAAAAACATATAGAAAAAATTAGCCGGGCATGGCGGCGCATGCCTGGAGTCCCAGCTACTCGGGAGGCTGAGGCAGGAGGATTGCCTGAGCCCAGGAGTTTGAGGTTGCTGTGAGCTAGGCTGACGCCACGGCACTCTAGCCCAGGCAACAGAGTGAGACTCTGTCTCAAAAAAAAGGAAAAAATTTAATATGGCAAATCTAATGTTTGGTTTTTCATTACTAAGACTTTACCTGATGGTAAGTTTTTATATCCTTTAAACCCTCAGTGTTTATTAGGCGTGTCCTTGGAGCGAGGCTCTGTACCTAGAGGTGTGTGAGGTATCAGTAGACATGACTGGGTGTGGTCCTTGCCTCCCAGACGCTCGCTGGTCGGGGACGGTGCGGTGTCTGCGAGGACATGCGTGTCTGTGGCACACACGGACAGCGAGGCGTGCTCTGCGCAGCACAGGAGTGGGGGGCACCGAGCCAGAGACCAGAGTGGGGGCTTCTCGTGCTTGGTGGCGGTACAGCGGTGACCCTGCTTGACTTGGGGTTTAAAGAGTTTCTGGGAAGAGACGTGGTGGAGCATTGCACGTGGGGTCAGAGAGGCCCTGAGGAGCAGCAGGCTGTTTGCTTGGCAGGACTGTATGGCCCGTCCAGGTGAGGTGGGCGGACAGCTGCCAGGACACGAAGGCCCGGTGCGCCTCACTTGGCTTTCCCAGGGAGCATCTGCCCGGAGAGTGACAGATGAGGGCCGAGGGCGGGGCTGGAGATGCCCCTTCTCGCGTGAACGTGCAAGAATGTGATCGGCTCACGGAGGGCCGTGTGGGGTTAGCCCAGCAGCACGTGGAACATGGTCCTTTGGGATCGAGAGCTTTGTTGGGGGCAGACAGGGAAAGAGGAGTTCAGGCTGCACAGCCGGGGAGGACAGGCCGCCTGGGCCGCTGTGGCTCCAGGCAGACCGCTGGGCACACCCAGGGTGGACGGGCAGGGTGGACAGGCCAGGGCTGGAGCTGGCAGGGCTGCAGGGCGACTCGAGGACCCTCCACTCGGCGTGTAATTGCGTCCAAGGAGTGGATGGACGGGGTGTGTGAGGACAAAGGAGGGCAGGCGGCCTCCCAGGCTGTCGCAAGCTTTAGAGTGGGCACGTCTGGCCTTCCCCTGAGTGTCTGCCCCTCCCCCCCAGTGTCGGTTGAGCTCCTTCCACCTGTGGACACTTCGTGCCACCGGCATTTCCCGGGTGGCCGTGGCACAGCCTTGAATTTGTTTTGAACAGGGGCCCTATAACAATTGTTGGGGTTTTATTTCGCCATTAACCTAAGTGTCTTTGGCTGGTAATAAGGGGCATTTTCTAGAAGAATATTCATTTCACTTTTTAATACTGAGGGTCATCAGAACTGTTGATTGAAGTAAGAAATGGGAACTAAAACTGAAAATAACAGATTTTCTTTGGAATTCTTCCCAAATGAACACGGGTGTCGAGTAAAGCACTGAGAGGTTTTCATCTCACCGCGAGTCCTCGAGGCACTCACGGGCCGTGTGACCCTCGTGCAGATGGTGAGGACGGTGGCCCGGCACCACAAGGACAGGCGCGGCACGGCCAGGGCCGGGCGGAGCAGCAGAGCAGGCGGAGCCGTGTCACCGCCGCCCTCGCCAGGGAGGTGGGGTGCTGCTGGTCCAGCATCGCACAGGTGAACGCGCTTTCCTCCGGAATCCGCCCCCAGGTGCTGACTTGGGAACCCACGATGTGGGGCTTTAACTCATGCTTTTCTTCTTTCAGGTGGTAGAGATTAAACTGCAGATTGAATTTCAAGAGAAACAAAGAGAGGCATTAAATCTGAATAAATCTTCAAAAAGAGGTAACCAAGTCAATCGAAATGTCATGCACTGATTCAAAAAAGTAGCCTGTGATTTTTTTATGGCCGTGGCACCCCAGGTTCGGCGTGAGCTGTTACAAGTCACCGTCGCGCCCGGCACGGCAAACCACCCCTGCTTTGGGTGCGGGGTGGACCGACGCCTCACAGACACTGTGACGCTGCGCAGGGCAGGAGCCCAGAGCACGGGAGCGAGCGCCCTGCGTGGCAGTGGGAGCAGCGCGGTGAGTGTTTCCGCCGTGCTGTGGGGCCCACACGCTCCGGGCCACGGGCTCCGGGGGCAGCGTCCTTGTCGGACGGCTCCAGGAGCCCGTCTCCAGCTCTCTGTCCTCCGGTCAGCCCTCCAGACAGGACGGATCTGGGCACGGTCTTTGGGACCACCCAGACAGAGTCAATTCCAAGAGTTAATTTTCTTGGGGCCACTTTGAATCGCAGCAGAAACGTGAGGTCTTGCCCTTGGTGTCCGCCCGATCTGCCCTGGCTCTGCTGTTTGGAATCCCGGCAGCCTGTCTCCCGAGTCCTGAATTCCGTCCCTGAACTCGTAGTGATCAGTGACAGGGTGAAGGTGTCGGTGACCTTGGGTCCAGTTAGCAGGGCAGCGGCGTGTGGGTCATACTTTTAGGTGCAAGTCTAAGATCCCCAGAGCTCAGCAAGCCGAGCCATTGTGCTCCATGTGGCACAGACCCATTTTGTGGCAGAACGACCGGGGCGGGGGCCAGGCTGGTGTCGTCTGTCCCAGTCGCGGGTCTCCTGGGGGCTTTGTTGCGCAGGTTCAGCCACGGTGTTTCCCAGACGCTGCGAGGGGTCTTGTCAATATTTTTACAACGCTTGTTTTACTTATTTTATCACCTTCCTGACCTGAAATAGTCTGAATTCCAATCCCTATGTGGCCCTGAGGATTTTGGATAGGAGATTATGTACCTATAATATAAATAAAAGCGTGTCATTTATGTTTATGAATTTCTGAACATTCACTTTTGGATGGGGTATGTACTCTAGAGGTGACATGGGGGGAAGACCTCCGAATGGGGCTTTGTATTTCGAAGTTCTGTCGTCGAAACTTAAACCTGTATCTGTCATTGCCACGGTAAACGGCCGCAATACGATGAATGGTTGTTGTGAAAGCTGTTGATGTCACGCACAAAAATCATCGTTAAAAACCTTTCAGTAATGAAATACAGAAACAGGTTCACAAGTTGACACAAATGGGAAGAGAGACTGCGTGGGAGAACCCTTTAGGAAGCACTTTTATCTTTTTTGAGCCAGCGCAGGTTTCTGAGCACGTGCCTAGCCGCGGGCAGTGCAGTAGAAAGATTAGGCCACGAGCCAATGCTCTGCGGAATTGTGACGTGCGCCGGCACCCACAGCGTTGAGCAAAGCAGTCTTCAGGGGCAGGGTTTAGTTATGCTGATGACACGTCTTTTAAGAAAAAGTCCTAGTTTCGGGATTCTTCACCAACACAGATGAACTTGACCCTGAATTTGAAATGTTATTTATTTATTTATTTATTTGTGAGACAGAGTCTCACTCTGCTGCCCAGGCTAGAGTGCCGTGGTGTCAGCCTAGCTCACAGCAACCTCAAACTCCCGGGCTCAAGCGATCCTACTGCCTCAGCCTCCTGAGTAGCTGGGACTACAGGCATGGGCCACCATGCCCGGCTAATTTTTTCTATATGTTTTTAGTCGGCCAATTAATTTCTTTCTATTTATAGTAGAGACGGGGATCTCACTCTTGCTCAGGCTGGTTTCGAACTCCTGACCTTGAGCGATCCTCCTGCCTTGGCCTCCCAGAGTGCTAGGATGACAGGTGTGAGCCACTGTGTCCCGCCAAATATTATTTTTAATTTAAGGTGTCATATCTATTCATTTATGGTAGAAGTTTATTCAGTTGGTGGTGACGTCGGCTTGGGCTGGTCAGCGCTTAGACTCAGGTGCTCAGCTAACGTGCGACGCACCCCACAAATGTGAGTTGGTACCATACTCGAGAAAAAGATCTCAAATGTCCGTCTTCTACCCTTTAGCTTTCACATTTAATGGCTACATTAAAAATATGTGTACTTAAATATAATTAAATACTGTCTTTAAAGGTTATATGGTCTTATCTATCTGCTCAAAAACAAAATGTGTTGAAATTCTGCTGCAGATATAAAACACGTGTTTCACTACTTTTGTGTTTATGCACAAACACTGGTGGTGCCCGAGCTGGGGAGCAGGTGAAGACTGTTGTTCTCACGCAGTGGTTTCCGGTTTATTATGAGTGGGTGACGCATTTCTGCAGCCCCGCCTGCCCCCCGGGCAGTCGCTGTCCCTGGCTTCTCTGCCCTTCCAGGCTCAGTTCACGCATCTGCTGGCAAATCCGCCTGACCCTGGGTCTTGACCTCCATGTTCCCTGCACCTGCTGTGGGAAAGTTGTGTGCTGTAACGGACTGCCCAAATTTTGAAAGTGTATGTTCCTAACTGTCGAGTGTGTGCTTTGCTTTCTTAGTGATCACATTTGGTCTTGCATTTTAAACTGCAGGACTCTCCTTCCGGAAAGAAAAGGAAAGGGAGCATGTCTTTATCTGACGAAGAAGGTTAGTCACCGTCTGGACCAGGTTAGTGATTACCGGCTGTTGGTCCCCTCCATCCTGCCCCAAGCCTCCTCACCTGGGAGGAGGAATGTCAAAGGTTCCATCCCGAATGTTCACTGTTGTGTATTAAGAGGTAGCAAAAGAAAAAAAAAGCTATTTGCTTTTTCTTGCCAATTACTGGGTAAAATTCCTTTTTTTAATGTAAAATGTGGTATTATGTAGAATATAACTTTAGCAAAAACATAATACTTTTACTGTTTAGAAGTAGATGTATTCTTTTCATCAAAGCACCTTTCATCTCAGGCCAGAAAGTAATTAGCAGTCGCACGTTCCTCTTCTTTGTATAATTGCACCTCATGCTCGTGGTGCTGCGTGAGTGAGGGTCCTCGTTTACGGCCCACTTTCCTTCCGGCCGCCCAGCCTGCCTTCGTTTCTGACCATACCGCAGTCCCCATAGTGTGGTCCCGGTGGGAAAGCCAGCCAGGTGAGCCGTCCTCGTGGAGGCCTCTGCCCACCCCACTCCCCAGCCCTGCACCCCTCTCAGGCCCAGCTCGGTCCCCACGGACCCCGCTAATTCCTGAGCTGAATCCTGCCTTCTGCATCCCAGTCCGCTCGCCTGTTTCTGGGCCTGGTGTACTCGGGCCACACCCCGAGAAAACTGTATTTTCCATCTGTGTTTGGCTGAACAAGATCCGTGGGTGAGCGGACTTGCGCAGCTCCAGCCCATGTTGTCCAAGCGTCAGCTACATCTTAGAATTGGTTTATCCGGGAGCTTCCCTGAAAACTCCTGGGGGTTCTGATGGCACTTGCAATGCATTTTTGGCAAGGTTTAGGGAGAACTGACACCCCCCTGGGAAGGTCTCTGTCTGAGGCCACGGTGCAGCCAGCTGTGGATTTGAAACTCGGTATTGACATCTCTCACCAGCATTTCCGGTTTACCCGTGGGGGGTTGCATATATTTTATTAGGTTTATTCCTGGAGACTATATTTTTTGATGCTGTTGCAAATGATATATATTTTTTATAAAGTCAAGTTTATTGAGGTGTAATTTACAGGCGCACAAATTCACGCCTTCTAGTGGACAGTGCTGAGAGTTTTGACAAATGCACACTCCATCCTGCAACCATCGCCACCGCCCAGGCGTGGGGCACCGTCAGCCCCGTCACCCTTCCCTGCGCCCCACCGCCGACAGCCCCCGGCCTCTGTTTGTCCCTGTTGCTTTGGCCTCACCAGAGAGTAGCACAGTGGAGCCACACGGCGCAGAGCCCTGTGGTTCTGGCTTCTCAAGCTGCTTGCAGCTGTTGACGTTTATGAATCTTTATTGGCTGAAAGTGATTTTAAATCATGAGTAGATATTTTGCTCAGATGCTTTTCCTGCATCTGTCAAGAGGATCACAGGTTTTTCTTTTTGAGTCTGTTAGTAAGATGAATTACAGTGATGTCTAGATTATGTTGATATCTAGAATTTTAATTCAGTCATGAATCTTCTTGTATTTTCTTTTATTTTCTCTTCCTTTCCCCACAGTTCTTAATCACCGTTAGTTCCTAGGCTTCTCAGAGAATCTCCTGGATTTGTTTCTCTGCTTATTTCAGTGCATCCTCCCCAATTTTCCCCATTCTGAGTCTGTGTCTGGCAGGTCCCCGAGGACCTGTGTGGGCCACCTGCTCCACTCTGTCTTGGTTTCACTCTGGAAACTCCACGTGTGAGGATGCCGGCACCTGTCCTTGGCCAGGCGCCTCACGCCGCTGTGCTGGGCAGTGTGCGGACGTCAGGCGGGGCTGCGTCTCCCCAACGGCAGCCGTGGGACGGGGTTCTCCCTCCTTCCCCTGCTACCACCCTCCTGCTCTCTAAGTTCCCTGCCTCATCTAGACTTTCATGGTGACCATAGGGTGAAGCCAGCACCCCGCTAGTCCAGAAGTGGCTTCTAACCATCCACCTTCACTCAACATGCTCAGGGAATGGAGAAGCTGTGTAGACACTTAGGTGTGTTTGCTGAATACTTACATAAAATGAAAGTAGAGTCATCAGAGGTTCCTCTTTATTATGTGTGTTGATGCAGTATGGAAGAAAAATAGGCAGTGCTTTTTAAAATTGCTATTGACAGTTGTGTTTGAGACTTCAGAGGAGGAAACAAACCAGGCGGGTTGCACAGTTGTGACGACCAGCTGTTCTCCTTGAAGAGCTGCCAGTGACGGCCCCTGCGGGCAGCCTGGGGGGCAGGGAGCACCTGTGGGGGGGCAGCTGTCTGGAGTTGCGCCGGTGACTCGGCTCAGAGCTGCTTCACCTCCAAGGGCAGAGCTAAGAGGCCTCCTGTTGGGGCCACATCGATGCCTGGGGACAAAAAGGTGCTCCCATGTTTTCTATAAAGTTGTATTGATAACTTATTATTTCTCTGTGTAGGCAAGAAGAAAGTATCTCTAGTTTATTTAAAAAAACCTCTTTTTTAAACTTAAAAATTAAATTTTTTTTTTCTGTTTTCTGAAAGGATGTTTTATTTCCCTTTGTTTTTTAAAATGCATTTGAAACTCTGCTTCTAAGTGTTGTAAACCATCGAGCAAGGGGACTTGGACACCAGAATCCAATCAGTCAAATTAGTTTATTGATACCTGCGCAGAGGCTGTCACCACTCCTTGCAAAAAGGGAGAAGCAGCCCCGAATAAAGCCTTTGCGGTTTTCTTATACCCTAGGGGCTGGCAGCTATGCAAGCGAGCAATCACAGGAGCAGAACTTTGCGGTTAGTCGTTAGTCAAGTGAACAATGGAACGGTACATTGAGGGACAAGGGACTTTTCCTGGAACAGGACTTCTCTATTCCTTTTGGGAACAGGCCTCCTCGACTCCCTCCTCTCTCCTCTGGGAACTTTCTCTGGGAACTTTTTACACAGTTGGGACCTTTTACTAATAGTTAGAGCAAGACTGACTCCATTTTAGATTTACAGGAGCCATCTTTAGTCTGTCTACTTCATTCCCCATTGGTCTTATTAGCTAATCAAATCTTAGATTCTACAAGGGGATCTGTGTCAGGTAAAGTTTGGTATTGGGTGCTTAAGACCAACAGCTTGACTGCTTGCACCTGGTTTTGCACAAATGCCATGATACGGTTAATTATGAGGGGGCCACAAGTAAGCCCTAGGAGGAGAAGAATTAAGGGGCCTGCAAGGGAAGATACTAGGGTTGTTAACCAGGGTGACCAATTGAAGAGAGTTTTGTACCAATATGACTTTTTTTGTTGTTTTTTCTTGATTTATTTTTTCACTAAAGCTAGACTATTTCTGATTACTCTAGATCTATTAGGATAAAAGCAGCATGTTTTTTAAAGAGCCATATAAAGCCTCCCTTGCTTTAGAAAAAGTAAGTCTAACCCACAGTGGTTTTGTAGAGCAACTTCGGCTAAAGAGGTTAGGGAAGCTTCTAGGTGGGAAATGGAATTTCCTAGCTCTGTCATGTCTGCATTGACCTGGGTGGTGAAGGCCCGGAAGCTGGGGCCTAGAGGTCCAGGGCAGTGATGCTGAGGGCGGTCGATCTGGCCAGTCCAACTCCAACCAGGAGGGGCACCAGGACTGGGGCTCTGGTCTATCTGTGTAGTCCTTTAAAATGCTCCAGTCCACCTTCTCCTGAGTAATAATATACTTGGGGAATAACATGAGTTAGGATACAAACTTGCGGATGTTCAGTCATTATAGAGGAGGATATACACGGAGTTAGCCCCCAGAACAAGCAAACCAGGTGCCATTTGGGGCTATTAAGGTGTAAGTGGTAGCCCCTTCAGTCTCTATTTTGCCTCTTGGGAGGGTTATGGTTATATTACAGTTTTCTTTATAACGGGATGTTGACATTTGATAGGAGGAGGAGACTATACATGTTCCATTTCCCTGCAGGTCTCCAAGGGTTAACACAGGCATTTGGTTCCAGTTACACTGTGAGTTTTTACTTGTGTTTTTAATGTTAGTAGGATTGTTTCCCATGGAAGCACTGGCAGGGAGCCCAACATAATAGGGAGGCGCTGGGTTTAAGCACAGCCAGAAATCCTGAATGGCATCTGGATTGGTATTGTTTATAAACTTAAACACCTGTCCAGGGTTTGCAGCACTGGGTGTTGCTTATCTCGTTCCTGCCCTGGGGGCATTGGGAGCTCTGCCAGGGCAGGTTCTGTGGGCCCTGGGGTCTTTTTTGGGGGGGGGACGCCCTGGTCCTTGTCTGGGTTTAAGACCTCATTTGGCCCGATGGGTTTGGGGACTCTAATTATAGGTATTTTTTTGAATAGTGAATAACACTCCTGGATCTGGGCCTGTTATATACAGTCTTAGTCCCCAGGTTCTCCAAGCCTTCCACTCAGCCCGATGCCAATCTTTGATGAAGATTTTAAACTTACTACAATTTTGGTTGTTGGACAAAAACTGAAGTCCCACCAAATTTTAATGTTTTTTGGCACCAGCATTTTTTCAGAAGGCTATAGTTTTATAACCCTAGTGCTTACAGTAGTAATGTGTGGCTCCTCTATAGCCTATAGCATCGGCCGGGCACGTGTAGACCTGTATATTGTTTAGATTGTGATCTTTGCACTGTGGTGCCTGCACCAGTGGCCTCACCCCATAGCCTCCCGTAAAAGCTTTTTACTATCGTACTTGGTTAGGGAGATTTGGGCCCATTAAGTAACACAGATCAACTATAAAGAAGGGTTGCTGATTGGTAGCGTTTGTCTGGGCAATCTCCTGTCTGTCCTCCGTGCGCAACAAAATCCAGGTATGGGGGGCATGTAGTGGGATCTGCCCCAAGTCTGACTGGTCCAACCCGGGGGAATTGCTGCCAGGAGCAAGGGGAGGACTATGGAGAGTGTCGGGACAAACGTACCTTTAAGAGGTCACCTGTGTGTTTTAGTTTTATGTTTCTGGTATCTGGCTATCTTGGGCCCTTTTTACTTGCGTATAGTGGACCCAGTTCTTTTTTCCCCGCAACCTTCACAGCCGTGGGAGTCGTGAGGATCACAGGGTATGGTCCATCCCACCAAGCTTTGAGGGAGTCTAGGTTGTGTCTACTAATCCACACCCAATCACCAGGCTGCAAACGGTGAAGCAGATCCAGACCAGGAGGGACAGGCCTTGTGTCCTGCTGGGCCCCGACAGCATTTCGGAGGTCCGATCGGAGACGCTGGAGAGCCTGTAAAGAGCTAAGAAGGTTATGGTTACTTATGGAGCCCAGTGCCTCTTGCCTTAATTTTGGCAGTATTGGCGGGGGACATCTCTATATGATTTTAAAGGGGGTGATTCCCACCCTGTATGGAGTGCAGCGGGTCCCCAGTAAGGCAAAGGGGAGTAGGCTAACCCAATTTTCGCCAGTCTCTAAAATGCAATTTGGTCAAAGTTCTTTTTATGGTCTTATTCATTCTTTTAACCTGCCCAGAACTCTGAGGCCTATATGCACAATGCAACTTCTAAGTAATTTTTAATGCCTCGGCTACTGTTTTGGAGATCTGGGCAGTAAACACCGGGGCCATTGTCGGTCCCCAGTGCTAGAGGGAGGCCGAATCGGAGGATTATCTCAGAGAGTAGGAACTTAGCCGCTACCTGTGCTGTTTCCTTTTTAGTAGGGAAAGCTTCAGTCTAGCCTGAAAAAGTATCCACTAATACAAGGAGGTACCTGTACCCATACTTTCCTGGTTTTATTTCGGTGAAGTTGAGCTCCCATTGTTCTCCAGGGCTTTGTCCCCTTTGGCGTTGTCCAATGAATCGGGGGTCTTAGTTCTATTTACTTTTACACAGGTTACACAACGACTGGCAATATATTTTGTTATTCCGGCCAAATTTGTGAGGAGAAAATGCCTGGACACAAGCTGCTGACGTTTTGTAGCTCCTTGGTGAGTTCCCTGATGAAGGTGTTGCAAAAGCTCCTGCCCTACTGCCTCGGGGAGGAATATTCTGCCAGCTGGAGTCTTTAGCCATCCATTTTCTCCTTGGACACAATTCATCTCGGCCCCTACCCTTTGCTCCTTGTGGGAGTGAGTTGGTTTTGGGGACAGGAGTCTTGCAGGCAAGACGGGCAAAACATCCATAGGCCCCACTGGTCTTTGGGCCACTTTCTTGGCACTCTGGTCAGCAAACATATTGCCCTTAGTTTTATGTCTGATTTATCTTTTTGGTGGCCCCGGCAGTGAACAATTGCTACTGCTTTTGGAAGCCAAATGGCCTCTAACGGGGCCAGGATTTTTGCCTTTATTTTTTTGCCCCCTAAGGTTAGGAGTCCCCATTCCTGGTATAGAGCCCCGTGTACATGTGTCGTTGCGAATGCGTACTGGCTGTCTGTGTAGACATTGACAGTCTTTCCTTTGGCCAGCCTTAAAGCCTGGGTCACAGCTAGTAGCTATACCTTTTGAGCTGAGGTCCCATGCCCTAATGCTGTGCCCATAGTACCTCAGTCACGGTGGTGACCGCCACTCTCGCTACCCGTACTCTATCCCAGATGAAACTGCTCCCATCCATGAAGAGTTGCAGGTCAGTGTTTGGCAAGGGCTCATCTCGGAGGTCCGGCCTTAGGCTAGATAAGGCTTCTAGAACCTGCTTACATTCATGCACTGGCAAGGCGGGGTCATCATCAGTGAGAAGGGTGGCTGGGTTAAGGGCCGTGGTGTGTAGGAAACTCACCCGTGGGGGGTCCAGCAGGAGGACTTGATACTGGGTGATACCAGCGTTAGAAATCCACCGATCAGGAGGGCTCCGCAGTAGAGTTTCTACCGTGTGTGCCCCAGCAACCTGTAAGTCCTGCCCCAGAGTTAGTTTCTCTGCCTCTTTTACTAAAAGGGCTGTAGCCGCAACAGCTCACATATATCTCGGCCACCCAGAGGCTACGGGGTCCAGCCGTTTGGATAAGTAGGCTACTGGTCGCCACCACGGTCCCAGTGTTTGGGTGAGAACCCCTTTGGCTATTCCCCGGGCCTCAGACACAGCTGGAATAGCTTTGTGACATCCCGTAGTGCCAGAGCTGGTGCAGCAGTGAGAGCTGCTTTTAGTGGCTCAAAGGCTGGTTCTTTTTCTGTCCACATCAAGGATGGGTCTTTGCCCCTAGTGCCGGCGTATAGGGGCTTAGCTAAATCTGCGAACGCTGGAATACACGGGTGGCAATATCCCAGCGCCCCTAAGAACTCTCTGACTTGCCTTTTGGTGGTGGCTGAGGTATCTGCAACATGGCTCGGATTCTGCTCTGAGATAGGGCTCGATGACCCTCAGTCAACTCATATCCCAGGTATGTTGCTGTCTGGATGCAGAGTTGAGCCTTTTTTGCTGACACCCTGTAGCCCAACCTTTGTAACTCCTGCAGGAGACTCAGGGAGGTGTGCCGGCATTCTCCCTCAGTATTAGTAGCTATCAGCAGGTCATCGACATACTGTAGCAAAGAGACCACAGGGTGTCTTTCCTCTTGCCCCTGTAGATCCCTACTTAAGGCCTCATCAAAGAGGGTCAGCAAGTTTTTGAACCCTTGGGGAAGGCATGTCCAGGTTAACTGCCCTGAATAACCTCCCTCAGGGTCTGTCCATTTGAATGCAAAAATCGGCTGACTCAGTGGGGAGCGAGGCAGGGAGAAGAAAGCATCTTTGAGGTGTAGGATGGTGTAGACCACCCGGTTAGGGGGAATGAGGCTCAGCAGAGTGTAGGGGTTGGGTACCGTGGGGTGGATAGTTTCTACTCTCCAGTTTATCTCCCTCAGGTCCTGTACTGGCCGATAGTCGTTAGTTCCAGGCTGACTGACAGGGGATTGATATTCCCTTGTCCCTCAGGTGCTTGATGTGCACCGCTATGCCTTGTCGGGGGTCCAAAGAAATAGAGTACTGGCATACTCGCAGTGGGCTTGCTGTGCTGCAGTTCCACTACTATGGGTGGTTGGTGCTTTGCCAAGCCTGGGGGGTTTGTTTCAGCGCATACGCCCGGGACTTGAGTCCTCCATTGTGCCAACAAGGCGGAGCTCCCTGAAGCCTCTGAGGCTTCCTCCTCATAGAGGACGTATTCCTCGGACAAGGGGGTTGAGTACAGGATGCACTGCGGGGTCTCGGGAAGAGACAGAGTGGTGGTTCCTGCCAAACTGAAGGAGATGGTGGAATGCAACTTTTCTAGCAGATCTCCCCCGAGCAGCGGGTATAGGCAGTCTGGCATAACTAGAAAGGAGTGTGTGATGACCCCTTTTCCTAAATCTGTGAGCCTGGCAGTAGTCCATGGATACATTTTGGGCTGCCCCATTGCCCCCACTATGGGAGTCTTGGTTTTGGTTAGCGGTCCCACAGCCTCTTTTAGGATGGAGATGGTAGCTGCCGTATCAACTAAAAAGTCCGCAGGCCGGCCCCCTACCTTCAAGGTTATCATGGGCTCCCGGGGGCCAAGAGGGTAGGAGCCCCGACCCCTTCATTGGGCACTCTCCAGGAGGACCTGGGCGGGCCTCTCCTGGGCCTCCCCCTGTTGGGGCACTCGTTTTCCCAATGCCCGAATTGCTTCCAGACGGCACATTGGTCGGGGGCTAACGTTTTTCTTCTACGGAGTGTCCTCCCGGGGGAGTTCTGCGGCTTCCTGGAGGGGGCCTCCCTGTCTTCGGGGTGGCCTAGTTTCCTGCAGTGTGGCAATGACAACTCTTGCCATCTTTTTGGTGGCTGCTACCTCAGCTGAGTCCCGGTTATTAAAGACCTTTTGAGCTATTTCCACTAACTCACTGAGATTTTTCCCTTTAAACCCATCTAATTTCTGCAACTTCCTCCTGATGTCTGGGGCCGACTGGGACACAAAGGCAACATTAATAGCTGTACGGTTCTCAGGTGCCTCTGGGTCTATGGGGGTGTAAGTCCGGTAAGCCTCAAACAATCGCTCCAAGAAGGCGGCCGGACTTTCCCCACTTCCCTGAGCCAATCCACTAACCTTAGACATATTTGTGGGCTTCCTAGCTGCTCCACGGAGGCCCAGCAACAGAGTCTGGTGATATTGGGTCAGCGACCCCCTACCTTGCTCAATGTTAGGGTCCCAGTCTGGTCTATGGTTGGGGAAGCGAGTCTCTATGAAGTCTGCATCAGGTGCCGCTGCCCATTCGAGCCAAGAACAGCTTTTCTCACCTCCCAGTTTATGCCCTCGCATTCTTTGGATGTGAAGAGAACCTGGAGGAGCTGCTGGCAGTCGTCCCATGTGGGTTGGTGGGTGTGAAACACCGTTTCCAAGAGGGAAATGAGACCCTGTGGTTTCTTGGAAAATTTAGGCCTTCCAGTTATACAAATCACTGGTAGAGAATGGGACATAAACCATAAAAGGGCAGTCACTCCTGGGCAGAGGGGCCATCTGGCACAGTGGTAAGATAGCCCTGGGGTCCCCCTTGAGTCCGGTGAAAGGGGTCGGTGTCACCTTCCACGGGTTCTTGGACTATAGCGTGGTTCAGGGGTTGCTTTTCTCTTACCCTGGGCCTCTTGTCCCCTACCTGATTCTAGGGCCCTTCTCTCTCCCCTATCCTGCTCGCCTCCCCTGTCTTGGGCGGCCTCAGGGGGGACATAAGGCGGAGGTTGCCATGGATCACACAGGAGGTCTTTACCCTGCGATGGGAAGACGGGGGGCTGGGGGGGGGCGCATCTTTAGAGACTTATCAGGGAGCGGAGATGTTCTACGCCTGCTCCCTGGGGTCTGGTTGGAAGTGCCTGCGAATAAGACTTGAGAGGGTTTGACATCAACACACTTGGTTAAGTATTGGGGTCTTTCAGTAGCTACGTCAATCCAGACATCGATATATGGAACTTGGTCTGGGTGACCTGGGTCACCATAGACCACCCGCCATATACTGAGTAGGAGGGATAAGTTGAAGGAGCCCTCTGGTGGCCAGTGAGTGCCAAAAGAAGGCCACTCTAAATTTATATAAAATCCTAAGAGTGGGGGCGTTGACCCAGGCACCCTAATCCCTGACTCGCCTGGAAAGTCATAGAAGTTTTTCAGGAGACAGCCCAAGGGGTTTTTCTGAGCCGACGGACCCTGTCCCATCCTGAAAGAGATAAAGGCCAGCTGAAAGCGGGAGAGAATGTAGAAGTTAGATGGAGGAAGGGATCCGAGGGGACCCACAGGCGGGGAGTTCCAAGTCCTGTCGGGGTCTGTAAAGGAGAAGACGGTGGTGGATTTGTCAGATGTTTAGGGAGATCCGGTCCGGAGGCTCCCAACCACTTTTTCTTTTCCTTACAGTAAAAACAACACAGAACCGGCCCCTGGGGGAGACGATCTCCCATTTATGTTGTTGTCCCTCCCTTTCCCGATTTGAACGAAGCCGAAAGACAGACAAAAGAGGGGGAGTTTTTTCTTTCAGGTGTCCACCTGGCTACGTCTCTCGAGGCGTACCTGTGCAAAGCCCGGCCCGTCACTCCCTATCACAGGGAGTGAATCGCCGTTATGCCGTACGCCGCCACAGAACCGCAGGTTAGGACCCACTCAGACCCCGTAGCCGAGGCTGTGGGGCCACAGAGTCAGTGGCCGCAAGCAGTCACCAAGTTGCTTTCACTCACACGGAGGTTAAACAATTCCTCCCCCCCCAACACCCTTTGATATCCACTATCTTACCCTGACCTGGGTATCCTTAGAGATGTCTCACAAGGAACCGGAGGTGGCCCTTGTGCTGCGTCCAGGGGTCCAACCCCCAGAAAACTCTGTACAGAGACCTACTCACCAAGAGACGTCCCTTGTCCCGGCGCCACTGATCAATGGGGTCCCCAGTCTACTGCAGGGTGGAGGAACGTCTCTCCGCGGCCTCCCCTGCAGTGACTAGGGCCTGCCCCAATAGAATTTGCCCGGGAGGAGCCGAAACTCCTCCCGTCTGGGTCCGGTCAGTGGTTGATCTCGCTGGGGCCTCCAAAATGTTGTAAACCAGCGGATCAAGGGGACCCAGGCAACAGAATCCAATCAGTCAAATTAGTTTATCGATACCTGCACAGGGGCTGTCACCACTCCATGCAAGGAGGGAGAAGCAACCCGGAACCAAAGCTTTTGCGGGTTTTTATACCCTAGGGGCTGGCAGCTATGCAAGTGAGCGATCACAGGAGCAGAACTTTGCGGTTAGTCGTTAATCAAATGAACAATGGAAACGGACATTGAGGGATGAGGGACTTTTCCTGGAACAGGACTTCTCTATTCTTTCTGGGAACAGGCCTCCTTGACTCCCTTTTCTCTCTGGGAACTTTCTCTAGGAACTTTTTATACAGTCAGGACCTTTTACTAATAGTTAGAGCAAGACTGACTCCATTTTAGATTTATAGGAGCCATCTTTAGTCTATGTACTTCATAAGTACCAGGCATCGATCTTTTCTAAAAACGTTTTTTTTCCAAATGAGTCCAATGGCTTCCGACCTTAGGACAGAGGCATACGCTCTGGGAACAGGACTTTCCTTTCCAAGTGAGGAGCAGCAACTGGGAACCGAGTCAGAGCGGGAGGTGGTTGTGGGCGTGTGGGCGCTGGCCCAAGAGCACTTTCCATTGCTGAGCTTGGGCTCTGACCTTCAGAACACTGTATTTGAAAATTATTAAGAAAAGTCCCTTTTGAGCATAGAATTGATTGTATATTTTGGACATGATTTTGATTTCAGTGGAAGATGAGGAAGAAACAATTGAACAAGAAACGAAAGAAGGAAACATCAACCACCACGCCGAGCTGCCCCCTTGGTCAGGGAAGGTGAGTGGGTGACGTGTCGACTTGTGTGTCCCACGCCGGGCGTGTCAGGAGCCCCTGCTGCTCACAGGTGCTGGAACGAGGTCCCGTCCTCACAAACCCCCGGAATGTCAGTGGGAGCTTCAGGCCCCAGGAGAAAAGGGCAGTCAGGTGTGTAACATGCCACAGCCCTTAACCAAGAGTTTGTTTGTTTTTGAGACAAAGTCTCACTCGGTCACCCTGGGTAGAGGGCGGTGGCATCGTCGCAGCTCACTACTGCAACCTCAAACTCCTGGGCTCAAGCGATCCTCCCGCCTCGGCCTCACAGAGTGCTAGGACTATAGGACATGAGCCACTGTGCCCGGGCAATCAGGAGTTTTAAAGTGCTAACTATGTATTACTCGTTCTTTTCTATAGAAGATACAAAATTCTTAGCATTAGCTTGAAAAGTGGCAATCTGAATAAAAGAAATGGATGTGCACACTGCTCACCTTCCTGGAGGAGGGGTTCCCTGGCGCGTTGCCTGCGAGCTGCATGGTCCACCCTTCTCCCCTCGCTGGGAGGATGGGGCTCCTTCTGGGCCCTGGGCCTGCGGGCATCAGCTGGTGAGGGGCAGTGTCCCGGCAGAGCCAGCCCTGCCCCGCCTCGTGGGCTTGGGGTGTGAACCCTCCCGATTCCCCAGACTGCTCTTCCAGGACCCCCTCCGCCCTGCATCGTCTCAAAGGAAAAGCGATTTCAGCTGTGCTCGGTTCCAACCCTCGGCAGGAAATATGAGACTTTCATAGAATCCCGATTGCCTGAAAAGCGATTTCCTTTTTTCTGTCCTCCTTTCGATAAATGTCTATAAAGTACCTCTGCAGAAAAGTGGCGTGACCCGTATCATTGACCACATCAGCGCTGACAATTTTTGCTTCCTAGTGGCGTTTCCCACGAGCTCTCCCCTCTGCCTGCTCTCTGTGCAGGTAACTGGGGCCCCCACCTCATCGTGGCCAGAAGCCGGGGCGCCCTGGGGTGGGAGCTGGAGCTGGAGCTGAAGCGCTGGTGCCCGGCTTGAAGGTCCTTCTGTACCTCGCGGCCCACAAGGGCGCAGGGCGGAGAGACAGGCACCCGCCCGCGCCTGGCTGCGGCTGTGGGTTTGGGGAGCATGCAGGTAATCGCCTTTCCCGCCGCTCCTGCCTTGCTGCACCGTGGGGGGAGGACAGGTGCGAGAGGGAGTTTGGGTTGAGGCACCAGGTGTTTGGATTGGCGAGAGGAGAGTTTCTTTCTGGTGAAATGCTGCTCAGAAATAAACCTTGGTGGGTTTCAGGGGAGATTCGGGATCTCTTTCCCAAGAGGATCCAGAACAAGAAAGAGCCCCTGGGCGTAACCGGCATTGTTGGAAAGAATGAGGTGGCATCGCCCTGTGACATGCGCCTTTGATCATGAATGCACAGTGTGCTCCAAAGTAACGTTGCCTGTGGGTGCACCTCGCAGCTTGGGTTCAATTCTTTTTTTTTCTTTGAGGCAGGAGGCTCGCCTGAGCCCAGGAGGGTGCTGCGGTGATGCAGGTAATCGCCTTTCCCGCCGCTCCTGCCTTGCTGCACTGTGGGGGGAGGACAGGTGAGAGGGAGTTTGAGTTGAGGCACCAGGTGTTTGGATTGGCGAGAGGAGAGTTTCTTTCTGGTGAAATGCTGCTCAGAAATAAACCTTGGTGGGGTTTCCAGGGGAGATTCGGGATCTCTTTCCCAAGAGGATCCAGAACAAGAAAGAGCCCCTGGGCGTAACCGGCATTGTTGGAAAGAATGAGGCGGCACCGCCCTGTGAGATGCGCCTTTGATTATGAACGCACAGTGTGCTCCAAAGTAACGTTGCCTGTGGGTGCACCTCGCAGCTTGGGTTCAATTCTTTTTTTTTCTTTGAGGCAGAGTCTCACTCTGTCGCCCTTGGCAGAGTGCAGTGGTGGCATCATAGCTCACCGCAGCACCCTCCTGGGCTCAGGCGAGCCTCCTGCCTCAGCCTCTCGGTAGCTGGGACTGCAGGCGTGCGCCACCACGCCCGGCTAATTTTTTTCTTGAGTGATGATGAGTCAATGTCTTCTGTTGGTTTTTCTCACAGAAACTAAAAATGGGTTTCTGTATATGTACTCATTATTCTTTCTAGTTGTCTGTATGATTTATGTTGCTCATTTTATTTTATTTTTAAATTTTAGTATATTATGGGGGTACAAGTGTTAAGGTTACATATATTGCCCATGCCCCCTCCCCCCTCGAGTCA